TATGTGTAGTCTTGGTGAGTTTGAGGCTCTACTGTCTATCGGAACTGCAGCTAACAAGTTTAAGAGTATCTACTGTTTTCTGACACTGCCGCAAGTTATATACATTGTATGAACTTGTAAGGCACCGAAGCATTTCTACGCCTGGAAAATTTTAGGGCCAAACGTGGGATGCTTGCTAGTCTCTTTTCTGATTACATAATATCTCATGTTATGATTCTCCCCGGGGTTAACTAGAGCGTGTATCATGTTCCCGGGGACAAGTACCTATCCCAGCGGGACCCGGCTTAGAAGATGATCAGTCCTTCTAAATGGTATATTCATTGAGTTCTCCTTACCCCTAAGCGGTAACAATAAGTCCACTTATATGCTATCCAAGTATCACAAAGTGCAGCAGAGCTAATAATCTAAAAGAAAAAGCCAGCAGATGTTGGTGGTTGGTCTGAATATTTAAAGTGTGCATCAATGGTGAATGCGGGCATTGTGTTCGTCATGTTTGTGGGAAGAAAATGATGGAAATACAATGTATTGCACTTCAGACAGTCCCCCATTTACGTACTGAATGCTGAAAGGAATATCACAAAATATGGTTTAAATGTGTGTTTAACTGATTCCGCGTCGATTGCATTGGTTAAAACTGCCATCCAAAACTAGTTGTTTTCGAACACAAAGGTTATTTGTTTAAATTTATTGTTAGCATGTTGCACACTACATCTGGGACTGAAGCCGTACTTTGGTGGCTACGTTTTATTGCCTACGTCTACTCTTCCCCTAGCTAAAGCCTACTCGGTTGGCCCATTTATGACGGTCAATTTTTCAATAAACGTTATCTTTCGCACTTCATAAGCAGTTGACTTTCTGATACGACTGGCTGACTTTCGGCGTACTTTTTATGTTGCTCCCGTGATCGTGATGTGAACTAATGCAAAGGTACACTTCATTCGATCTTAAGGATGGACAGAAAAAAGTGGATGAGTTACCAGCCAAAACAAAGGAGGTGTCGTTTATACAAAGACGAAGAAGACAAATTATTCCCTCGCACACGACGTTTCCTATAAATGTAGAGCTGGCACACGCCTAGTACTCTACGTATTATAGGTTAGTTTTTGCACAAAATGTGATACATTACTTATATATTGACAATGTAACAACCACCATAATCAACCAATAGTACAACGTAGCATAACAGATGCGAAGTGGATTAAACAACTGATGTTGGCGTCGACGTACAGCCCCATCAAGGAAGGCAGTTAACCACACAGTGTATTCGAGTACAACTTCGGAGTTAGTACCATCATGCCACAAGGTAGATCTTTTAGAACGGTTCGGAAATACTCGCACTTAACTATGGCTATGCGCACAGTTGGTGCAACGTATCGTCTGCTATGTAATTTTGCTGGGCAAGTTGTACTGTGTATCATATGGGATGGATAAGAAAGAATTTTTAACAGGTGTAAAAAACTTAAAAACCCCCTCCGGTTTGGATTATCCCATCGAAGTGAGTGGCTTTTCAATTGCAGAAAGGAAACAGTAGAAGCAGTGCAATGTTTAGTATGAGTTTGTGTAGAACCCGGTAAATAAATTGCTAAGGAGTGGCTGTACTATTGCGGAAGAGGAACCGCTGCTTTTCGATGTAGCACTAAGTCCACTAACTGATTTCTCTCCTTCAATTTGTTCTATCTAGAAACAGCAGGGATCATTGTCTGGAAGAGGAGGTGTTTAACTTTTGGTGCGGCAGGTCTAGATAGGGCTGTACTGGATGTCAAAAAGATGAAACGACCATACGAGAACAAGAGAAGCAAAAACAGGCACATCCAGGTTTTGGAGTATTTTCTTGACCCTCATATCCGACCAGAAATTGTTATCCTCAATACTCTAGGTCGCTATGGCGCTTCGCTGATGCTATTTTTTGTCCTGTAACAAGCAATTAAGAGAATTGAGTGTGAGATAAGTCAGGATTCATCAGAGACTTAGAATGGATTTTCGTCTTCGCAACTGGACAACTCCACTTTCTCCGCCTAAAGTGCGCCTGGAAACTGTTATCAGATTCTAACCCTCGTAGTGGGTTTGGGGTTTCCTGCAGCCTTGAATTTTGGGGGAGGTGTGAAGCACAGTACAAATCGGGTTCGTGCAAAAACAAACACAGCTAAAGACCAGAGGCCGTGGTCCATCTATAGGTTAGTGCTATTTAACGCAAGTTTTCTCTTGCAATCACAGATAATCGCTAACGAATTATAGAATGCCCTGCTATTTTGGAGAAACTGACTTTTATTCACGTGCCGCTTCCTTGTGTTGTCGGAAGTAGACATTATTTGATAGCCAGGAAATCTTTAGGGTATGTAAGGGGCAAAGTAGCCGTGGCAGATTAGAGATGACACTTAAGAATGTAGGGTTGACTTGTTTAATATGAGTTGAGAGATAGCAGTCAGTTGTCTCTGCTGAAGCCCCATAATCGCATAAAGTTGTGCGAACAAACACAGAAGTAGTGCTCGGGCAAGCTCACACTGTTTCTTGACAACTATTCCCATCTTGTTCCGAATTATTTTGTATATTTTGCTTTTGACTAGTCATGACCTCATCTCTACCCTCCTGGACTAACACCCCTCACAGCTTACACCGTTGGAATCAAGGCAGTATCCACAAATGCTCACTACGATGCACCGAATATTAAACTTGTGTGGATTTTCCCATCTTGCGCCTTGGTTGTTGACAAGCACAATCTGAAAATGTCTGGGCGAGGGTACTATCAGTTGTTTTACGTTTCATGTAAGATACTATAGCCACTTTATCGATGATCGGTCTGGATAATACTATAAATGGTCGTTTAAATGCACGCTAAGTCTTGGAATATGATTGGAACCGATCAGGAAGTCGTCGTCTCCAAAACTGTAAACAACCATTTAGTGCGTTTGTTTTGGGAATTTCCACCTTTAGCACGAAAATTAACTCTTCTGTCTACTCCTTGGCCAGAAAAGCTACTTGACTCTTTTGTAGGATCAGTGATGCATTTCTAGCTGTTTTTGTTAAATACTTATTTTCCACCGTTGTTCACCATTTGGACTGATATTTGTTCGTCATGAGCGCCTGTAGGTGGGTAAAATCCAAGCACCTATTTTAGATGAGGACACGCTTTCAAATCCGTGTGACCCATTGTAGCATAGTTTATTTCAAAAGGAAAATGGTTATATCTATTGCCGCTACCTTCATCACTTTCAAACTGCAGTGTATCTGCGTGCGATCATAGCCCTGAGCATGTTCTCGATATAATAATTATCTTTCAAATGATGGGACTGGGGATGTTTGTGCATCTATAGCAATTAATGTCCAGCTATATCCGAGGTGGCTATGGTTCGTCACTAAGTTCCCAGGGAAGAATTCCTTGGAAAATTTTGCAATAATGTGATCTGCGTTCAACTCTTTTATGGGAGTGTACAATGGAGCAATCGCCAAGTTCATACTATAACGGTTTTTCAAAAGCTGCCCAAAACATGCTTGCAACGCGACATTGAGTTCCGATGACTACGTCTATTAGTCAATGATTTCCGTATTACAGTTAAACCTCCGTAAGTTGACAAATCAACGGACTGAACGAAGGTGGTAAACAAATAGACGTGGCCAACATACCGTGGTCTGGATTCAAAAGGTCCACATGACAAATGTTCAAGTAGGGAAAACCCATCGCTCAACTTTCAGAGATGGTCATGATTTAGAGGTGGTGATCCTCGGAGGTTTCACTCTACTATTAGTCAGACAAGTAGCGATCATCTAGACAATAGGAGGCAATGGAACCCATACCAAAACAGCGTAAGTGGCCCCGTTGCGAAGACTGTCACAGATGAAATTACAGAATGGCATGTTAACGCCATGTTAAGGTGACGGTTAATACCATCAAACTACGTTCGTGTAACTCAGGATGCAGTCAGCTGAGTGCTTTGGCTTTGGATGCGACCAAAAGATACCTATTGTGTCTTTCTTATTGGCATGCAGATACGAAACCAGCTAATTTAAATGGGTTCCTGTCTGCATTTTAGTGTGTACTACAAAGAGGACTGTTGGGTCCATTTGATAATGTTGTATGGCAGAGCAACAGGAAAATGCCAAGACAAGTTATTTCTGTAGTTTTCACGTAGGATCTGCGGTGTCTTTCTATTTTGATGCAGTTAGTATAACACATAAAAGTGGCTTTGCTCTGGGTCTAAGGATCATAGTTAAGCCTTTAGGTGATATGGGAATGCTTTATCAGCCACAAGAAATATTTCAAAATGACATGTGTGATTCTCTGCGTTTCACGGGCTTCTGTTCGGTGGCTTAAAGGGAGTTGAGAAATAATTTTTATCACAGCAGACACGAGTTCATGAAACTTGTCATCAAATGAGGTGGTTTGCTGAACATGCACGTTCGCTTCTTTCTTGCTTCTGATATCCTCCTGCTCTCTACATGAGTGAGCATTGCGAATACAAGCAACACGATAGAAAATGTACTAGGTTTATTATTATACCGCAAAACGATCATGTAACTACACTGTTCCCTCCTAAGTGTGCGTTTACTGCCCAATCATTAATGCCGGCCCATTACTGTTTAAGGTAGCAGCGCGTTCTCCACTAAATCGAATGTTCTACATAACAGGCAATTTATCAGCTTATCAGTGGACACTGTATCATTCAATCTTCCATTCGTATTGGAGGATGAATTTGTCGCAGCCCTCTGACCGACTTACTCAGAGGATCCAGCGTGTCTCCGCTGCATCTACTACTAGTTTCTTTATAGCATGGCTTGACCTACGGGCTTAACATGTCGACCCTAGAGGAGCTCTAACTTCAGTTCGTTACCACAAGCCAAATGGACTATTCGTTAGCGAAAGCGTTTGGCGTGAAGTCGCTGTAAAATTGCTATCCGGTAAAACGTTCCGTTCCAATTTACCCGTTTATATAAACACACCAACATGACGCCATATCCATTTATATTTATCGCTATGATACTGCATGCCCGTTGTTTTGTCACAGGTAATTATTCGGAGAAACGAATATGTTTCATCCATGTGTGTCATCTGGAATACTTCTTATACTCCTTCGTATGGCACAAGTGCCATCCACATATGGATTTGCTGAGCCTAACACTTGGACAATGGATCTGAAGATGCCAGGTTCCACAACGTCACAGGAGGACGCCTATTTGTTCACACACTTTCCGGTTCCTTACCCTCATCGGACTTCTTACATAGTTGAGATTATTCCTAGACCAAATCACTCCACTGCCCATCACATGATGTTACACGGTTGCTCGCAGCCGGTCCTTCAAGGTGTGGAGGAGAATATTGCCTCCGGCTCCTGCACCACACTATTGTACGCGTGGGCTCACGGTGCACCTGGACTACGTTTTCCTCCTGGAGTTGGGGTTCCCGTTGGGCAAGCATCGGAAATAAAAGGATTTCAGCTGGATTTACACTATCTTCCAAAGGTTATCTCACCTGACCAATCTGGAGTGACTTTGGTTTTTACTGACCAGCCACAACCGCGTTCAGCTGGGGTGTTCCTCATGTTTTCCGCAGACGCCATCATCCCACCCGGGAGAAAAAACTTCACAATCGACATATCATGCCGGTAAGCCGGTGTTCAATAGTCCCACCCTTTACTGGACCAGATACGAATGTGTACCACTGAATGAGTCTAAGTGTTCCTTTTTATGGGGTTAGGAAACATCCCAAGATAATCAGTTATGGTTCCTTTTAGCTATCTATCAGAGAAACCATGCAGAAACAGATAGGCAGATTTGGTAGCCAAACTATTTGCTGAGGTTGGCAGCTTTACTGCAAACGTCTTTTCGCCATCACCAGTGGGCTATTCTGTGGGGCAGCGATGATTAAGTGGGTGTGAACCGTGTATTTGCGCTTATGCATATTTATAGGTCATCGGCACTGATCGTTTGGGTAAGTGATCTCCGAAACTGGCCTTTTTAACCAATACCTCGTGATCATGGTCTGTTTATTAGATTGTTTTGAGTTTAATTACGCAACTCATAGGTTCAGTGCTGTGTCCACAAGAAAATAGCAATTTTCACTGAATACCACCATAGCACGTGTGAAAAAGCTTAGAGCCTTAGTAGCCACGATCATAAATGCAAAGAAGTCTGGATATTTCTTCCAAAGAGCTAGCACCTGTTACCACTAAATATTTCCCTATGATCATACCACGCAATCCGCCGGTCTGAATGGTTGATAAAGGCAAACTCTGCACTTTCGCTGGAAAAATGTTCGGAAATCTACTTGTTTTTGTTACACAAATTTTGATTCATCCAATAAACCAACCTTTTTAAAGCTTCTCCTATGAATTAGTTATCCTCTGCATGTCAAAACCTATAACGTATCAGCTCAAGCTAGATAACAATTGAGCATGCCTCATCCTAATATTTTTCGTTTATGTATGCATATAAAACTGAGGTACTGGTAAGACTCTGCTGCCTCGGAATATATTTCGTTACTTTTTAAAGTTTTACCGTACATACAACCACTGCTCTAATTTACCGACGGCTTGTCCTTCTGGTTTTAAACATTTTTATTGCAGTATGAGCATGCTGTATTTAGCGGTATTTTTGGTCAGCCAATCCGAATATGAAGGTTGGTTATGGCTTCATCGATCCAGAGTCGGAAATAAGCGTACGTATGACCAACGGTAGCAAGATAGCGTTGGATGAATCTCATGTCTTCTCTATCGATCCATCGACCGAGTGGAGTTGTGGGCTTCCTCAATCTTTCAAATTGGGTGATGCAGATCAAAAATTGCACTTTTTCACTATCTTTTTTGATAATGTTCATCTTGTACAAGCTTTGTCAGTTCCCAAGCAAACCGATCAGTTCCTTGTACGTTGCAAGGGAGCATAACACCAGTTAAATGACTGGATTTATGGGGATAGTTATTCAGTAAACTAAGAGATAGTTTGCACTTTGTTTAATGATATTTGCTCCTCTAATCGATTTGGCATTTGGTTGAGAACATGAAGGTACCAAGGTGACCTGTGCAACCTAACTGGTTTGACGACCTGAGCTACGTTGAATATGGGTCTATCAAACCACTACCTCAGTGGTCCAGTGACATTTATAGCTTTTATAAAATTTCCAATCCAATGATGGACATATGAGCTTATTGCCTGCCACGGACGGAACAACACCCGAAGTCTAAATAAACCAACTTGATGACTAGAGTAGTCAGAACGCATGGAGCTGTGAACTTGGAACCGAATTTTATTGGGTGTTTATCGAGTTTTACGGAGAATTAATGGCAGTCGATTTCATGTCATATAGTTCTCTACACACTAGAAGATGCGCCATACGGCCGTTTCTTTCTATTGGTAGTAGTTAAGCCTCCCCCTGCTACCTCAGAACTCGAGCTCATGACCACTAGCGTATTGAGTCACTAGCCAGCGGCCTGTGACATTACGCTGCGGCGACCGGCGGCAGAACGTCGTGATTTGCAGACTAAATGCGATGTAGCGTGACTTATCAGAATTCGTTAAGTACACACTGCCTTGACGTTCATTCGTACTGCACCTAGCTATGGGTAAGTTTTACCATGCACAGTTTAGGTTAATGGTGGGTGTGGTGTGGTTTCTTCAACTTTGTCTAAAGGCAATAACACATAGGATGTAGGTTAGACATGTGATACCGGAAAAATTTTGACCGTCTTATCTAACATGTGGTTGTATGAGATTTACGATGAGATCTAGGGCAAAACAAAGAACAAGTAGAGATGCATGGAACACACCGTTCAGTAAGAAGATGCGAAAAACTTGCGCGCAGTTAAACAAGTGGATTATCTTAGTTCCCAATGCTAAAGAGAACCTGTTGTTTTAAGCTTCTGAATGTGTTACACTTTTAAGTTCAATACGACTTTCCAATTTCGGAAGCTTCTTTGCTTGATTTTGCGTCCATACATCTTTATGTCTTGTAGACTCTACAGATGTAAATAACCCGCAATTGTTCTTCCCATAACTGCAATTTATGATGCGGTGCATTATGATAGTACAGCAAAGGCAATCGGTATCCAGTGAAGAGGCTTAGTATCATAAACCCCTTGCACTATTGCTTCTTCAAAGTTCACCCCGCTCAACGGGTTAAGATTCTACGCTTTAAGCCACACTAGTAAGTATTAGCTTCAAACTCCCGGGATACAATTTGAATCAATCGGGAAGCCAACTAAATAAATTAACTGATGGTTCTCGAATCTTTCTGAAACTACGCATTAGCTTGAATTTCGATTCCGGTTTTGGTCACGATGTGCAGGTTCCATTTGAACCATGTGTTATGCGAAATAACTCTAGACCACTGCTTTCTGGGTCCGAAGTAGAAGCGTAGAGAGTTTCCAGCTTATATGCTTCATAAGTAGTGCAATTATTAATAGTTGATCTTTTCCATCCCTACAGTGTGCCAAAAGGTGTACAGTTTACTCTCATGGCTATGCGTACCCATGCCCATAGTCTTGGTCGCGTCATTATGGGTTATCGCAAGAAGGAAGACAGTTTGAAACAACAACTACTCGGTCAAGGTAGTCCACAATGGCCACAAGCGTTCTATTCACTCAGAGATCTAAATGCATCTTTTGACTCCATCGACATCGAGAGTGGTGATATCCTGTTCGCGCGATGTGTGTACGACAGCACAAGCAGATCCCGGAGGACAGTGATCGGATCAACTCATAACGATGAGATGTGCAACCTATACATGATGTACTACGCAAAGTGAGTGCTCAGTTCTACCTGGTGTTGGGATAAAAACCACTGATCCTAGTTCGTTTGGTTAACTCGGGGAGCAGTCACTTGGTGTCACCTGTCCTTGAGATGTTTCTCAGTAGAATGCCATACGATCCCCCAGTAAAATTTCATTAGTTTGGTTACATTGTCTGTTCCAGGTACACCGAGTTTGTATACCCGAAGTCTAACCCAAAGAACAGGACATATTTTTCCTATATCTATCATCGTAATAGCAATAACGTGCGTAGTGAGTTGTGTTAACTTCTACTGGGGGTTCCTACGTGGTCATTCCGGTTCTGCAGATACGTTAGTAGTGAACGCATCTTCAGGTAGGATTCAGATGGTAAGATGAGACTATCATAAATCCGGTGGACTCAAAGTTTCACCTCCATTGTGATGGCGTTCAGAGTACTCGAACTTGAGTACTTGAACTCTTCAGCTGCAGTATGCACAATAAGTTCTAATACAACCAAGGCAGCTCTTCTCATTGTTATGCAGCAAAGATCACCATGTGTGGAACAGATAAAGTGGTTTTGAATGGAGTTGTTAGTCTCATTCTCTTGAACCTCTTCATCCTTTGCTTCTTTCAAGTTTTTTAATGCGATTATAAACAGTGAACTGTTACGTTTGTTTTGAAAAACACTAAGGTTGTGCTGACGTTAGTAACTGTGCGTTTGGTGGGTTATTTTAATTAAAATGGAGTAGTCACACACTGGTGCGTCAGCTAGCTAGGTGAGTTACCTTGTTGTCCGTAGATAGGGTACTTTTGCAATAGGCAGTATATTGATTAAAAATACAGGTTTAACCCCTAATATCTCATTGAGTGTGTGTCGCTGCTTCCACCACCCTTAAATGCTTAGGTGTGACTTTGCAAACAAACTAATAAATGGAACTATTTTTCTGCTCACGAGTGGCTAGAACGGACGAAGAGTTGTTCCTTAGTGCGATTAAATGTATCCAGGCATTTCCACTTCATTTTGTTTCTAGAGATCGTCATAAAGGCAGCAATAGCAACGGACCAGTTTTGTAATAGCTGTTCAGCTAGTCGCGCTGACGCAAGGAAAATTAGTTGTGTCTACCTTTTACTTTTAGTCCGTTATACAACCAACTAAACACATGGTCTGTATAGGGGTCCTACTTAGGAAATCAGAAGATGGAAATCGATGGATGGGTATCCAACGCTGTTCAGTACAAATTTATACAGACAGCTAGTCTATGCTCCGTCAGAGCACGTGTTATTACTACTCCTCGTGGAATTTAGTAGTCTCATTTATGAATCTTACATCTTATAGGCATTTTGTGCATTTGGTTATCCACCTAAGTGTGTTTGGTTTGGCACTGTTGTCTACTAATATTTGCCTTCAGTTTTAAGTAAACGAGCCAGGTTTTCAGAAACCAAGTTAGAGCATAGGATGGCACTAAAATCATTTCATTCTCTGAAACACGCCATGATCCTCGTTGTTCTCCAAAATCCCCTACTCTAAGGGAGAACAAGCGATTCCACATATTATACTCATGATTCTGTTTGTACAGTTGCCATCTACATGAATATTGGCGTGGTCCTCCCGCAACACCGTACTCGTCCGACAGAAAACGCAGAATTGCGACTCTAGCCCGGGACGTTGGCACGTCAACTGCGGTCTTTACCCTCCATCCACTGAATCGCGGTTAACTACTTGTCACAAAAATTAATGACAGGAGTCTAGTTGACGTACATGTGTAAATTTATCCCGATGTGCAACTTGCACTTTAGTCACGGTTAGATTTAAAGTGAACCTCGATCATGATTTCAGGAAGTTTTGAAATCAAACATTTGGTGTAGTTGTTAGGCTACCTTTCGCTTTTGAAACAAAAGCTTCGTCAGTCTAAACTAACCCGAGGGTAGTTAGTATAACATTTATGGCGAACTGGGGAGGTACTCGTGCCGAACAAGATGTAAATAGGTGATTAAGCACGTTACAAGTCAAAGTGTCATTTCAGGTGGCAAATTATGCATGAGATGATCGCAAGTGCTTCACTGTACGATGTCATCACAAGTAAGTCTCTGCCAGTGATGGGAGTAGGGATGCTTTTATGTTCGCCCTCTGCCATGAATTCACCCACCGACATTCCTCGTACAGCACGAAATGAATACGCCCGCCACACATTCGGTGACTTTACAGCATCCATTTGGTTTTAAGTTTAGAATGTGTTTTATGCACCCGTGAAGGTGCAATATTTACTTGTTAGCTTAGGCGATCTCTAACATCTCAGTAGTTTAACTCTAGGATCATGAGCGCGGTCACTTCCTTATTACCTCTACGTTGTTCAAGTCGATTTCCAGCCTGGGGTCTAGCGCATACGCCGCTATCGCCGAATCGTTCATTAAATCAGTGTATTCAGCCTCGTTCTTCAACGGCCGTAAAATACACCCTTTATGTTCTGCTAACTTCCGTACAGAGCTCCCTAGTGGTTTGGCCTGTCTGCCAAGCAGGCACTGCCAAGTTCTGTAAGACTACATTCTTCGGCTTGGTCAAACAATCCCGTGCTTAAGAAGTAGGCAGGAGATGGAACGAAGACTAATATGCCTTACCATATTAGTCACCTTTATAGAGAGGACTGAGTTGACCGCAGTACAGATTAGATGTACCTGTTGCTAGTTCTTTGGAACACTTGCATCCAGTTTTTCAATTTTGCTGGAAACTTATCCTTCACCTCCCAAACTTTACCTTACTATTGCGCTTTAGTTTCTATTGAAATGAGATTTTGTTATTATTCTCGGGGTTTGCAATTTGTGGCTCAACAGTTGCTACTTGCTATCACGATGCACTACGTCAAGAACATCCAGTCTTTTACGCATCTAGATTTAAGGGTTGCAGTGGATTGGCCAGGTTGTCACCACCGAAATTCTGCAAGCCATCGTGGTATTGCACACCATGATGCGTTTCGATTTTATTTGCTCTCAGCAGATAGAGATAGTAGTCGTCGACTCCGGAACGGTTGGGATGTTTGTTGTGACCGCTACCCCTATGCCACCGGGTCTCGACAGATGACGTTTGGCACAAGGGTTAATGACCAGCTGGAGGGTTGTTTTGAAGTACACGTTGTGTGGATGGATTGTGACACACAATCTCAAGTAGGAAAGTAGCTGAATCGGATGGAAATTGGGTGCTGCCCTCCTAAAAACCCTGCCACGGTCCCATTGATCTAGTGAGCAATGGGAATCATGGGGATCACGGTCCAGATTGAGATTACTTGCTACAATCCATTCACATAACTCGTGGTTTAAAATGACCCTCCAGCCAACGTGGTATTGTGGCAAACTGCCGCATATATCAGACTAATGCATGGACGGGGTAGACGAGTTTTCATTGTAGTCTTCTCGAACTTGTCACCGGCCTTCCTAAGGTTTTGCTAAATTACCGTTACATCAGTACATGGATCTAGTTTTAACCAAATCACTCTATTTTGTGGTTGACATTGCTCACATCGCTCCTCTGAGCGCCAGTATGATGGTTTAATTTTGGTTATACTCTCTCTAGATGTCGCCGGGGTACCAATGAGTAATTCCCAAACTCTCCAAACTACCAAACAATGTGCACCAAGACTTCAACTTTGCGTTGCAAGATCTAGCTGGCGTGGGATATACTAAATGCTTATCTCATGGAATTCTCTGCTCTTTAGATCCCGCTCATGAGAACAAAGAAGACACGAGTACAGCCTCCCTGGATGGATACTACTGGCACCTACCCGCTCACGGTATTGTCTACCTGGTTGGACACTTGCCAAACCACTCCATTAACTAGCGGCTAAGCTATTTGCTGCGAGACTAAGAATATATGTAAGCAGCATTTGAAGAAGGTTCGGCTGTTGTGCGATAAGGAATTGGCTAGTGAAGTTACTAAGAATCCGAAGAAGTTCTTTGTTTTTTCAAAAGGCGCTGCAGTTTGCATTCGGCAATTCCAGCCTTGATGCGGGCCGATGGAACTCATGTGTATACGGATCCCGACAACGCTTCTGTACTTGGTGGGCAGTATGTAGGGGCCTTTATACTTGATACCGCTTTGGCAGTAGTTAGAATGGTTTCCAATGCCCCGGTGGACGTTTGTCTAGCTGAACTTAGTATGATGAAACGCGTCCTTAGACTACTGCAAAAACTGAACCAGTATCAAGCAGCTTGACGGGATTTGTTCCGCCCGAAGCGTCTGTATGTGTTAGCGGTGGAACTAAGTGAACCCCTTACAACGGTGTTTGCGAAATCACTTGACAACTGTGCCATAGTTTCTGAATGGTGGGAAACTATAATCTGTTCCTTCTTTCTAGATGGCGACAAAATTCTGCCCCGACAATTTCAGGTCACTCCGGGTGAATGGCGCCTTAATCAAACCGCTCGTAAAGCTGGTGAAAGATTCACTGGCGGGATTGTTACCTAAATAAATATATCTACTCAGCAGTGCAAAACACGCGGTCCCAAGTAGATGTTAGTGCCTGGCGAATTTATTGGTAGCTCGTGAGAGTTTCTTTGATGTATTAAAGAACGGCCAACTAGTGAACGCGTAGTTCGTGGATTTTCGAAAGCACTTTACACGGTTCACAAATTGAAACTATCGCAAACGCTGAGCTCTTAAGGCGTACTTGGGTGTTTGCATTCTTGGAGAAAAGAGAGCTGTGGGTACATGGGGTGGAAGTTTATCTTTTAGGCATACCACAAGGCCTGATTTCTGGATGGCTGCTGTTCTCCTTGGGGAGCTTCGGACAACATCGTCATTACTTGTTAATGACTTGAAGCTCGGAAATATTGTAGATGTTCCTGCAGGTCTTGAGGCTATTCAGCATGCTATGGATAGTCTGTGTGACTGGTCGGCTTTGTGACTATTGCCTATGAATCAGGAAGGGTGTTTCGTTATTCGTATTTTAGCGGCTTGTCCACCTTCGAGGTACGTAATCGGTTGGATTGAGTTATCCGGTCGTCGTATACCTGTCGAATTTCCTCTTGCGTGACTACTGGA